TGCATCTACTTGCATCTTTTTGCAGGAAATCTTCAGAATCGTTATTAATCTTCTTTCTATCTATTCAGCGTGCACGCAGCTAGCCACAGCAAAACACAATCTGTCCTGCAACGTAGATAGAGTCGTCCCCCTCGGTTTGAGTGACTGAAGAAGTCAGATCAGCAGTTCACTTATAGATCTAAATACGAAATGGAGGTTCTAGAGTGGGCTCAAGAGAAAGAGGCGGTTAATCAGACCCCATTAGCACCCTTAATTCAAATAATGCTCCAACTCACACAAAATAAACTACGGAGGTCATATTCATCATCTTCTATAGTCGGTTTCCAACAATGTTCCCCACAGGTTCCAACTCTTTCCGGCCGCTGATAGACCGTTGCTTTTCACATTACGAAAAGCTAGGTTTCTGGGGGGCTTCTGAGGGCATAATAATACCCTAAAACACAGGACTTTTATTGTCCTATGAACACATAACACCAAAATTTTTCACACCCGCAACTTCCCGCGTCATCCTCAATCCGATTTACCCTTGCGATTTCAATCCAAAATATTTAAGGTGTCAGAAATACCGGGCATGGATATTTTACAAACAATCGCAGCTTGCTCTATGAGCGGCACAATCGGCATACCTGCGGCACACTTGAGGCACACTGACATAAAGTATGACCCAAGACTGGTGTGCGGAGTGACCTACCCCTTGGATTAGAGCTAATTGGGGACAAACACTTATTGTAGGGTAACTTGAAGAGATAACTTCCGGTTGTCTTCTGAAAATTGATTAACAAGATAGATGACCTCCTTTTGGGAAAATTTTTCATCCAGAAAGACATAGTTCCTCCGGAAGACCCGGACCATCCGTGAAAGTGGTCAATTCATGAAACTGCTCCTAGAGCTCCGCGAATTTTTTGAAATCACTCATAGACGTCTTATCAGAACGCATTCAGAGTTGTGAGTGGAATATGGACGCTGGGGACTACGGGATGGTCCACTAGAAGGATGCGCCATCTGGAAGTTCCGTAAAAGTGGAAAATTAATAAAACTGATCCTGTAGCCCCGTGGTTTTTTTTTCTAAGCCACTCATAGACGTCATATCAGAATGGATTCGGAGTAATGACCAGCAAATGAACTCTAGGGACATGAAACTGATCCTAGAACTCCGTGTTTTTTTTTCGAAAAATCTCATAGGTTATTCCAAGAAAACTGACCTCAGAACTCTGTAGTTTTCTTAGAACTGCTCATAGATATGATTTTTCTATATATTATTATCGACCTAGGTGAATATTTTAGTACCTTCTAGGGCCTTTTATTGGAATTTTTGAATATTATTCCTTGGATTTCTTGAATTGTTTTCTCTTGGCTTCTTGGAGATCTTTCTTTGGAGTTACAAGTTAACGAGAGACTATCTCATTTTTTCTGCAGTACTTTTGACGTAGGATTACGTCTTTCGGCAACATATTGGAGGTGCAATTTAAAAAAGCCCAAATTGACCGCGTTACGAAAAGTGGTCAGGTTTTGACCACATATAACTCTGTCATTAGCGGATGGCTTTTAATTCTTAAAAAGCAAGTCGATTTGAAATTATGCTATGAATCTGCTAAATTGAACACTTTATTAATTTTCAATAGGTCACTATTGAAAATTACGCAAATGTCCAACTGTTGCAATGGTGACCAAAATTATCAACGATTGCCTGCAAAAATCGCTTTCCCTAACTCAGATTTCAAAATCGAATTCCATCCGGTCTCACTGAAAGATGCTTATGCAATCACCGTGTGTGGTGGTGTCCGGTTGGTCTTCATCATCATCATCAGCAGCAGCAGCAGCTGTGCTTTCAGCGCGTGACGTTGGAAGTTGTACACAACGAAAGGCTGCCAGCAAGCAGCGAGCTGCAGCTGACATGAGCGACCATTCACCGTAGAAGGAGGAAACAGCCTTACCGCTACTGAACGGATTCAGTTGCTCGTTGTTAGTCGCTGCCATCTATGCCAAGCGCGGCAACATACAGCTCACCAGTCTCATCCTTGTTGAACGGTTCTTTTCAGGACCACCATGAATTATTGTTGTTAATTTTCATTGAACGTTCGCTCGCCTTGCTGCCAGCCACATCAGCCCCAAAGCTCTTTGATAATGTACCCAGCAACAAAACGTTTGCAACATGATCATGTTAATTAAACAGAAACACTTCGAATCAAGGTATGGTTTTCTCCAGGACGCTAGAAAAAAGCAAAAAAATCCCAAATTTATATGATTCATTGCGAATACATCGCGATTGGAAAATTTAAGCAAGAAATTACTTCAATCAATTTGCGCTTTTTTATCTATTGAATATACGAAAATTCCATACGTTTTGTGCACCGAAAATGCTTAATTTTGTCATCAGAACACGGGGCGTTTCCGTGATGGGAAAAAGTGGTTTCCCTAACACAGTCGCCGAATATTGATACCGAGCACTTAACATGCCAGACGGTACTTATCTTTATGCCGTTTGATACAAATTTTAGGCCCCTCCTATTAAGAGAATTATTCAAAAAAATGCCTACTCGTCTTAATAGAAAGTGCTTAAAATTTGCATCAAAAGCATAAACGTAAGTACAGTCCGGTATGCCTAGTTTCTGTGATTGATGTGTTTTTTTTCCCTAATACATATCTCATTACCGCACCGCTATCATCTCCAAGAAAATCGAGGAAAAAAATCCACAGATTCGTTCTAAACTGGCTTCTAAGCTTCCAACCCATCGGTCCTTTTTAGGACCCCAAATGACTTACAAAAGAGTTCAAGTAAGAGCTTGTATGCAAGACATACCGTCCAGGATTTGCTTGTACTACAAAGACACCGACAGACCCCCTCAAAACAGAACTCTCAAATTGCTTCCGAATTTCAACCTATCGAACTTTTTCACCGATTACGAGTTAAGAAATCAATTTAATATTTACTATACTTTTGCTGTGACATCAAAACTACCATTCGTAATCCTACGGCAAGTCTTGGGTCGTGGCTTGGATACAACATCTTACTTTTTACATGGAATTGCTGATTACTTATAGATTAGGTACTATTTCTTCGACTTCGACTCCGACTCGTTATGCTCAGAAGTGCGTCCAACTCTGACTCCGGCTCCACAGCTCTGGGTAAATAAAGTTTACCCAACATTTTAGGGTCCAAGGATCAGTCCCATACGGAAAAAGTATGCATTGAGAAAATGGCAGTCGAAATTTCAAAGTGCAATTTTCATGTAAATGTTTGAAAAATCATAGCATTTTTTTCGAGATATTATCAGTTGCAATGAAATTTGCATGTTTAGTTATATCAGTAAAAAATATGCCAATTTTGCAAGCAGAACTGTAATTTGGCTGCTGGCCTATGGAATTTCAGATTGGGACTGATATGCGATTACTTTGCTTGATGGGACTGACTTGACGTTGTTTTTACATTTTTCACGATAAAAATCCGTATTTGTGTCACATAAAGGGTGTATTCGTGGAAAATAGCACACACATAAGCTGTATAAACCAAATTACTATTATAAATCAAAATGTTTGAAATTAAATTAAAAAACAATAATTCATTTTGAGTAACAAAACCTTTTTAAACAAATAAAATATCAAATATTTTACACCAAACCAAACAATTTTTTTTTTCAGGCGCACTTCACAAAATTCAAAATCAGTGAATAAATTGAAGATGGCGTTGACAAAATTCGTAAATATAGATAAAATGCAGTTTTCTACCACTCTTCAATATTTTTAAGACCACATTTTGTTTTCCTGATCTAAACTCAAGCCGACGCTTATATTTAAATCATGATATAGGGCTTAGATCTAATTTTGGGCCACTGAGCACCCGCCATTTGCCTCTATTTTCCGCGTGATTTTTTTTTCACATAATGGAATATTTTAACTGCAGATGACTTCTACATTTATTAACCTTTCCGTACGTACCGTAAGATTTGCTAAAGAGAAACAAATTGTTGAGATATTGTTAAAAATCTAGTACTGCTTTTTGGATTTAAATTAGGCCTAATGCATTGAAACGCCATTTAAACGTCATTGAATTCACTTCGTCCTATCGGATGAAGACAAAAATTTATTCGGTCGGAGCGCTTTTTTCGTTTTCGAGAAAAAAAAAAGGAATAGGAAACATTCATATTACGCGTTCTCATTGACTTCGTTTGGTTGCATTTGAACTAAAGAATCGTTCCAAACGCATAATTGACTTGTTAACTCTGATTTATTTGATGTTTTCTGCTCGATAGGCCCAAAATGGGCGATTAGACCGAAGTAGTTCTCTCTACCCTATGCTTTGCTTATTTAGGACACTCTAAACCAGCGCTGGCCAACGAGCGGCTCGTGGGATGTGGTCTCTGGATCCCAGCAATGGCATCATTTCAGTCCAGTTTTATTCATCATTATGAATTTCAGCCCAGCATGAATTAAAAAGAAACAAAATGTTTATCGAACTAGCCTTTAAAAAAGTTTTAAGTGCTCTAAACCATCATCTTTGAAAATTTCAGTCATTTGGTATAAAATTTAATGAGTTACAGTTATTTATGTGTGAGCCATTTTCCACGAATACACCCTTTAAAATGAAAGTAGATGCCAATCTATGTGGACAGCGTTGTTATCTCACAATTTACGCAAATCCATATGGGACAGATATGCGATTCTAGGCAGTATGACTCTCTCATCACGAATTGTATATGTTAGCGGATTTATTTATCCAGGAATGCAAACGAATCGAAATTCAACAAGACCCAAACAACTGGTAGTGAAATCACTGGCCTTTCCCAACAACGAACACACCCTGTTTTCAACGACTTCACCCAGCAAATCACTTCAGCCAAACTGCATCGCAAAATGCAAATGACCTGTCAAAGACCAAACCCATCATCAACAAACCAACAAACGTATTCTTATTTTGCGAAGTTATGCTCCAACGACTTGATCTAGGTCGCTGACGACGACGACGTCGTCACCATCGTCACACACCGCTCATGTAAATTCACCTGCTTTGCGTCTGCGGCATTTCCTCCGTTTTCGCCTTCGCTGCTGCTGCTGTTGCAATAGCAGCTCCGGTGACGCAGACAGTGATCTTAGGATTGGTAATTTGTCTCGGTAGGCAGACGAACACTCGTCGAAATCCCCATCGTCGCCATCCAAGTAGAGAATCCCCTCGTCCACCGAGCAGCTGGCCGAGCTCCAAGAACCTTTGTGCAGTGTGTTGGTCGTACCGCTGTCGATGGACCGGAGATCTTCCCGGGACGCTGCCGCAGGTTCATCGTCGAAGTCTACCATCCGTGAGTAGAGAAACTCTTCGGACGGAGTTCTGGGCAGTTGATCGTCCGTTTTCACTGGTGGAACCGGGGGCAGCGGTAGATCCGAGAAGAATTCTGAATCATCACTGTTGCTGCTGCTGCGACTGCCACTGCTACGTTCCCGGATGGTGCTCAGCCGGTTAAAGTCACAGCGGGGAGCACCGATGGACCGATGCTGATGCAGATCGTCGTCTTCCATTATTTTTAATCTCGCAAACTAGACCGAGTGTTGCGCACTGTTCTAATTAATTTCTTCCCCGTATTTATGGTACGCCACGAGCCGAGAACAGAATAACAAATCACATACACCGACAGTGGAAAAGGAACACGTAAAAATCAACCAACACTTCGCGTTTCGGCTGTTCATTTATTTATATTCACAGACAACATTTCTATGCTTTCGACGCAGCATGAAGATATGCACTCTCAGGAAAAACAAACAAGGAATTTTATAACACTATTAAACTCGAAAATCAGAGTAGAATTTTCCAAATCGATGTTATACTTCTTCCAAGGTGGGACCGCTGCCACGTTCTGCCGAAAGATGAAGGCGCGTTTATAAATATTTTTCGCAATTGCCCAAGACACCGCGGGCGAAGAACCACGCGCAACACGTCAGACGACGACGACGACGATGATGGCGACGCGGCGCCTGCGTTGCTGCGAGCTACAAGTCGCGTTCTGTTGTCCCATCGGACTTGTCAGACTAAACTGACGAATGTGCACAGCGAGTTCGAATTCAGTGGCGACGACGACGAGACGCTGAGCTCTCTCACGAGCATGTTGGCATTCATTTCCCTTGCGTTGTTCCCTCGGCTTACATGCACGCGGTTCATCAGAGACAACGCGACCGGTGATCGTAAGGTCAGGGAGTACGAATCAACGAATCATTTACAATGTTGATAGGTGATAAGCCGCATTTGGATGGATTGGTCATGCATGGGGGTTTTTTTTCCCCCTACCTAAGAAAGATGACTAAGTGGTTTGATTCGGCGAAATGGTGAGAAATACAAACTGCGTTTATCTGTGAAGGAAGCCGTCTACTGAATGTGGCTAACTAAATAAAACTGTCAGTATCGTCTTTCGGCAGAACGTCAACGTTTTCATCGTCTATAAGCAGTTCCACGCCAAATAACAAATCGATCAGACTCCAGATCCACTGGACCTAGTAGAAATGTGAATGATTGCCAATAGCAAAAAATTATGCAGAATTGCATGCAAATCGGAGAAGGTCGAGTCAAAAAAAAAATTATTTTTTGCTATTTGGCCAGGAACTGCTTGAATGTTGATCTCTCGGAGTTTGTTAGTTGCTCGTGTTCGTGTCGGGAAATGATGATTATTTGTTGATATAGCGAGCAGAAATCGATATATGAATCTCATAATTCAAATCAATATTTGTGCTGCGTGAAATATCGGATGGATGGAATGACAGCACGTTTAGCTTTAAATAGGCTGAACATTCATGGGTAAGGATTTTTTTTTTGATTTTTGGGTCACCATTCTTTGAACATTCTGTGTACACGCTAGAGCATGGTCTTAGAAGAGGGTAGGTAGATAGTTCCGTTAGAGTACGGTAGTATGAAAATTGAATAGAAGTTGAAAATGAGCGAAGGGCCATTTGGATGTATGTATGAAGACATACTTCAAATCTCCGCGTACATCATAAGGCAAAGAGTGTGCGTTTGACTTGCACTGTCGCATTAATGGCCCTTCGCTCATTTTCAACTTCTATTCTATTTTGATACTACCGTACTCTAAGGGAACTATCTACCTACACTCTTCTAAGACCATTCTCTAGCAAATAAATTATCACACTAAAGCTTCATGTTAGATAGCATTTCCAACCAACTCTGAAAATCGCAAACTTCGTGTATGAAGTAACATAAAAACTCTTTGAATACGGTGTGTAGTTTTTAATTTAAGTTTACGCTTCTATTTATATTTATATTTCGGACCTATTTCTTACATTCAGACCACCGCACCTTTTTAGTTCTTTCAATACCAGGACTAGTTTTTCACACATTTTAAATACGGTTTATGAAAATCAAAACAGCAATTTTGTTTTAGGTGATCTAGAATATCCTTAATATTCTGGAGTGCTAATCTTTGACTATATCACTAGAAGTCATTGTCCCTTACTGATACATGCATGACATGGTGGATCACAACCCAGTGTTCCTCACTGCTCATCCGATGTGTTTTGAGGTCCCCAACAACGGTGTCAAATTTGATCGAATTTGGTTATAATCTGGATATGCGGGTGAATTTTAAATTTTGTATGGCAAAATGTATGGGAATCGAAATGAATCTATTAATTTGCTTGGCGAAAATCCAAATGTTGCTCAAATTTCACCAATTCACGGTAATGGATTGAGTACTAACCAGAACAGGTCGATTAGACTTCTGAGAAAAAAATATAATAATTTAAACCTATTGCTCCGCGCATACCTACAGGCATACATATATGGGTCAATCCATCTCATGTGACCGAGCAAATGCACCGATCCACTCCAATTTGAATTCAAATTGGTGGGTCAACTCATTTTAGGCCAGAACAAAACATCCAAAGTTTTGGGCCAATTGGCCCCCCATTTTGCCGATTTTTAATAAAACCAATTTTCATTCTTACATATATATGAATCCAATAAAGATACAATCACCATTGAGTACCCTTTTTGAAGCATTTTAAAATGATGGGCTCGCATGTTTTCAACAGTGTTGTCAGATTTGCGAGTTTTTCATTTGAAAACTTTATATTTAAATAAGGGAAATGGATGTAATGTCGTCCTAAATGCCCCTAATTTGGGCCCATCTATAAATTTTCAATATTGACCAAAAATATCCATTACTACCGTCCAAATGACGCGTTCATCTAGATAAAAATGATAAATAGCAGATTTTTAGCGATGGGCCCAATCTTAAATCCATAGGCCAACATTAGAGCCATTTACCCTATCGAAAAAGGCTCCTACTTTATTTTTAATTTGATGAAGTCAATATGTTCAGCAGACTTTTTTTTAAATAATGATCATTTAAAGAGAAAAAAATAATTTGTTTCGTTAAGAAGATTTTGAATTTTAAAGATTTCAAGATCTTTAAATGATTCATTCATTACACCAGAACACTACGATATAGAATGTTTGTATTTTTTTGAAAGTTGTTCGTAACTATCAAATCTGTAAGTATGCTGAAGACCTGATCCTTCTATCCTTAAGTACAACAAAATGTCAGATCAGATTTTTTTTCTACAGTGGTGCCAGCATGCGATTTTAACTACACGCAATTCTCATATCACCTCACCTTACCTCACCCCACCTCATCTCACCGCACCCCATTTCAAGCTGAACATTGCACTAGGTCCTAAGTAACATTGACAGATTCTCTTCGTCGACTTTCTCTTTGCATCCCCACGGCCATGTAAAGACATTCCCAGGTATTTTCAGCACACAGATCGATAAAAGAAGCTTTTATCTAGCATCTAATAAGACAAACACATCAAGAAACGGTTCTGTGATCAAAAGAGAAAGTCGACGAAGATAATCGATCAATGTTACTTAGGACCTAATGCAATGTTAAGCTTGATTTCATTTCACCTTACCCCACCTCAGCTTACTCTGATCATATTATCTCATCTCACCTCATCAACTAACATCTGTCCACCTTGCCTCAATTCACCTTATTTCACCTCAGCCCACCTCATTTTACATCACCTCAATTCTCCTCACCTCATCTCACCTTTACTCAACTCAACTCACCTCGAAGGGCACGCGCAAATCTTCCAATACAACGCAACCTGCTGACAAAATGTTCTAAATTACTGCTTTCATTACTTTTTAAATTTTAAAACTAAAAAAAAATAATACTTTAATTACTAAAAAAATACAGTTTAATTTTTTAAAGTATATCTACAAAACCTTTCATTATTTAAACTATCGCCAATTATTATTTAATTACTTTCAATACCGCTCGAAGTATTAAAATTAAAATTTCAATTACTGCACATGTATTTTAAATGCCACGTGTATGAGGGCGTGCACCTCGACTCACTTTGTTACCTCATCTCAATTTCTTCCCATCTCATCATATCTCATCCCTTACCTCACCTCACCTCAGCTCACCTCACCTAAGCTCACCTCACCTCAGCTCACCTCACCTCAGCTCACCTCACCTCAGCTCACCTCACCTCAGCTCACCTCACCTCAGCTCACCTCAGCTCAGCTCACCTCAGCTCACCTCACCTCAGCTCACCTCACCTCAGCTCACCTCACCTCAGCTCACCTCACCTCATCGCATCTCATTTCATCTCGTCTCACTTTGCCTCACCTCACCTCAATTATTCTAACCTCCCAACTAACATTTTCAGTGCATGTAAACGTTTTATCAATTTCTTTTTTACAGCCTCAAGCTGCACACTATACGATATGCAGCAACTTTTACACAACCTCTATACAAGCTAATCTGGTGAACTTATGTAGCTAGTTTTGGTCACATTAGATAGCTCTTAACCCCATATTCGATGACGCTTCTACTCAGTCGATGTTCAGCTGTTTAAGCTGCGTATGAAATTCAAATGCGCTTATTCAGCTAATTCTGCCAACTACTAAATAATCACTATAGAGCTTTGACGCAAAGTAGAGTTAAATATTGAGAGTGGATTTAATTAAACGCATAATTTACTTGCACCGGGACCTGGACTCGAAATTGTGACGACCGCAATGGGAAACCTCGACGCTACCAACTTTCCTACAACAACACTTTAACCTGATCTATAAATATCTACATGTTGCCCTTCAACGAGGTGGCTGAGTAGAGGCTTTATAGTAGTACATGTGGAACACTTTCTTGACCACCCACCAGCACAACCCACCTCATTTTACATCCGATTACATCGACCGTTCTATTTATAGATTTATGAAAGACGCAGTGTAAAAGTTATAAAACCGCTGGAAACGTACACATACGAAATCCACCTCAAAATGGTTGCATGAATGCTTCCGAAAATCTATTATACAGCTTATTAGCTGAGTACAAGCTATTTAATAGTTGGAAATGCGCTTTATCAGCTCTGGATTGCAGCTATAAGTTGTATGTTGAGAAACATGTGTACCGCAGTAGTGTAAACGTTTATTAGATGCTGTTATACAATTTGACTGACAAGCTGACTAATAGTTGAATAAATGATGAATAGGCGCTACTCATACTATTTTGATACCTTTTGTCTGCAGCTGAATTCACAGCCTCTATGCAGCTGCTTCATAACACAAAACTGCAAAAAGTAAGCTCACATAGCTGAAAATATTTGTTGGGCTCGCCTCTCCTAAATGATTCTCACTTCATCTCATCTAATTTTCATCCGCACCTACGCATCTAAATTCACCTCACTTCATCTGATCTCACCTCAACTCATCTCACCTAAATTTATCTCACCTCACCTCAACTCTCCTCAATTTACCTTACCTCATATCACCTCACCTCACTTCTCCTCACCTTACCTCAATTCACATCACCTCAACTCAGACTCACCCCAAATCAATACCATGACATATTTAGCATTCGATTCCGAATGATCCTGGAATCTTATTTTGAATTCTCCTGAAACGGCTAAAAATCTCTTAAATAAAGAATAAAAAAAAAGAATTCTACTGAAATTTCTTGAAAAATTCTGCACAACATTATTTAACTTTATTCTTCAATAAAATCCATGACATTTTCCATTTGGGGCTTCCCTGGGTTCAGTCGGTAAAGGCGCAGCTACAAAGCAAAATCATGCTGGACGGGGACTGGGTTAGATTTTCGGGTTGGAAAATTTCTCGACTTCCCTGGGCATAAGAGTATGATTGTACTTGGCTCGCAATGG